TTTTTTTTCTCTAACTAGGTCTTGTACTTGTTTCTTGACTAGGTGCTTAATCATGATTATTGAATTTGTACTCTCTAACTGTCCTTACGTTTCATTGCTCTAAAAATCGGGGGCATGTGTCAACTCCAAACTTCGCACCTGATTTAGTCTTGCTGGATTAGTACTATGATATTATAATTGTACATAATGCGGATGGTGGACGCTATTGCTACGGGGCACGGAGATTCCCTATCTTGTAGCAGTATTTTAATCACTTTTCAATTGTTGATGCATGTAAATGAGCTAAAGCATCAAGGGTTGAGATATGTTGAGACAACAAGAGAATATCGCGTGGGGTAGAGGATCCACATCCTTGCTTTAAAAAACTGAAATATCAGGATTAATATATATTTATAACTTATAGACATGAATATAGAGACATGACTATATGGAGAACCAAAGTATTGGGGCACTAAGGAATATAAAATTAAGCAGCATCGTCGACTTAGAAATTGTTAGCCATAATTACATGAGAAAATTATGCTCAATTGATTATTGTCATGGATTTTGTTAACCTAGTAAAGAAAGTTTGTCATTTGAAAGCTTTATTTATCGTGCGTAATTAGTACATAGGAAATAAAAACGTTTCTTTGTTATATATGATTGACCAGTGTCATATGAGCACTTGCTAGCCAGACCCTTATCTAATCACCTAGTAGCATATTTATGCTGCGCATGGGCTTGGAGTCATGGTATAATTTTTATACAAATGATTGGGTGATTTTTTTTCGTATAAGTTAAATGGTTGTATCAAATCATTACTGGCAATTAAAAAATCTCTTAGTAACATAATGTATTTTCTATACTTTTATTCGGGGGAAATTGTTCAATTAGTCCTAAACATATTATACGGATATCAGCTCAATGCTAAACTTTCCAATTTTACCAATTTAGTCCAAAACCTTTGCACAAATATCGAATGTAGTCTTTCTTGCCAATTTTCGTCGGAAAATTGCTAACGTGGCAATGTACCACATCGGACGACAGCCGGTGATGATTGCATCGCCACGTCAGCAATTTCCTTCGAAAATTGATCGGAATGACCACATTGGAATTCTACACAAAGGTTTATGACTAAGTCGGTACAATTGAAAAGTTTAAGACTGAATTAACATCCATTTAATGTGTGTGAGATTGATCGGGTAATTTTCCCCTTTTATTTATGATTTTGTTTTTCCTTTCACATATTTCTACAAGTTTATTTACCTCATTAATCAGCTTAATCGACTTTATAATTTTTCTTTCTCTCATTAATCACTTCACTAATGAAAGCCGTAGAAAAAGGGTTAACTTAGCAAATTTTCTTGGTATATATATTTTTTTGGGTCGGAATTCTTGGTAGTTAAGAGTAAGTGATTTTATTAGTTTCTTTTGTACAAGGGTCATGCTAATACTTAGGAGCACTTGTAAAATACCAAGTGTGGAACTCGTGATGACAAAGTATAACAAAAGTGGACAGTTGTCAATGATAAATAAATCATGACAATCTGTGAGGTACCCACAAAAAGAAGTACAACGCAAACATAATAAAATACAACAATAAATTAGCTATGGACAATGCCCAAAAACAAGTCCAGACTAGATAGCGATCTCAAAAGTCATGAAAAAACAGTGAATTTTTGAGGTGGAAAATTGATCATCAACTAGTTTTCCAATTCAACTTAGGTAATAGGAACCAAATGAGATTTTCCAATAGGTATTATGATTTCGTAACTCCACTTGATTTAAAAGTTGTGGCCCATCAACAAAATGCTACACAAACTCTCTTTTCTGAGCTCACATTCTACTTATTTGAATATCCTGCAAACTCATCGGTAGTCTCCTTCGGTAATTCTACACAAATAGCCAATAATAGCCAATTTTTTTTGGATCGCGCTATTTCCACTTCTTGTATAATTAAATTCACCCCATTTTTCACTAAAAAGACAAGACAAAATTGCCATCAATCATTCAATTGCAATTTAAGGTGGTAGCCTCAAATTTATTTGTTTTTCATCTTTTTCTATTTTTAATCAGAATCAAGTTGTCATAATTAAACATTTCAGATGTTTTGTGTCTGTTTAATGTGGCTATCTCGTGTATATTAAAGGCATTGTTTTTATTGTTATTTTTAGATTTTACTTCCTTAAAATAAGTTTTGTTTAAAAGAACAATTTCGAAGAAATCTAATTCTTTTTTATGTTGTCGGGCAAGTTTATGGGTTCATTGTCAAGTGGAATCTAGAGATTAACATAGACAATTTTGTAAAACAATCTTATCTTAATAAACTTTTTTTTTTGCATATCATCATCAAACCCTTTCTTATCTTGGTATTTTTTGAAAACACTACATGGATGATATTAATTTTTGTCAATCCAAAATGATGAGATTTCACTGGCATTTAATTAGAAAAAAAAAACATTTCTTATTGTATGAATGTTGTGATTTAATTACATTTCATCTTTGAAAGTTTCACATTGCAGAATATAACTATGATTTTATTTTAAAAATTCGTTATAGAGGTTTTTTTTTTGTTTCATCGATCATCCCATTATATGTATATGTGTATAAAAGCTAACAGATAAAAAAGAGTTTGATGGTGATACACACAACAAATGTGAAAGTTTATAAAAAAATGATTGCATTAAAATAGTGTCTGTAAAAAATTTTCTAGATTCTACTTGTCAATTAATCCACAAATTTGTTAGACAACATTGAAAGAATTAGGTTTCTTCAAAATTTCTCTTTTCGACAAAACTAATTTGTACATAAGTAAAATCTAACAATAAATTGAAAACACAGTACCCCTAATAAACATACCCACAAGGACAAAGAAACACATGAGATCTTAATTATGGCAACTAGATCCTACATAGAAATAGAAAAACTAAGAAAAGAAGGAAATTGAATGATTGATGTCAATTTTGTCTTTTGGTGAAAATTGGGTGCGTTTAGCCATATAAGAAATGGAAATAACGCCGCCGTTTTTTTTGTTGTTTGATTTTCTTTGACTCTTAGAGCTACCGATAGTCTCCACGGATGTATGATCATCCCCTTCCACGCATCCGAGTGATAAACGGATCATATAGGTCTACGCTTATAGGAACTATAAATCTTTTCAATGGTCGAAATGAAATTACCAAGATTGAACAGGTTTGTTTGAGAATGGTGGAGAATGTGAAAGTTGGATAATGGAAACTGTGTTAATGAACTTTACAATCAGGCCGAATTGTAAGCATATATGTCTAATCGACATGGAGCAAAAATACAGAAATAAATGCTTTCAAGGGCATGCTTAAGAAAGGTAACCGACGAAGTTCATTGACTGCATAGCAAGGCTTAAAAGGAAAGATGAAGTTTCATTTACAAATTTGATTACTCACCATTTTCATCTGAGTTTTCTTGACTTGCTATGTGGATCCACTTTAGTTAAGTCATTTCCTTACTCAATAATTTTACATTTGGTTGAGTTTTGTTGCAATAATCACATAGAACGCCAAATTTTAAATAATTTAAATTTCGATGATGGTCTCGATAACCTTTTAAACTTTGTTCCTATTAATAAGGGTCGGAATTCGTGGTAATTGTTAAAAAAACCTGAACTTATTGTACGACGACCAATTCAGTTCTAAACCTGTTTATTATGCCAATGTAGTTCTAAACGTCAATAGTCTTTTCGACTAATTTTGGTTGGAAACCGCTGACGTGGTGATCCAGTCAACGTCGGCCGTCCTACGTGACACAGTTCGCGCCAATGTGAATAATTTGTAAATTTTTTTTGATATTTTTTCTTTTTTCCGAGGGCTACCTCGCCAGATTTGGCGAGGGTCACCCTCACTAGCGGTTGGCGACCGGTGGAGAGAAATAGGAAAAAAATAAGAGAAAGGAAAGAAAATGAAAATAAAATAAAATAATTACAAAAAAATCGTGTATTTTAACGTCGACTATACCACATAAGACGACTAGCGTCTACATCAACAATTTTCGGCAAAAATTGATCGAAAGGATTACATTGGCAAATCATCAAAAGGTTTAGAACTAAGTTGACATAATTAAAATGTTCTGGACATAATTGGCCGCCGTACAATAGGTTTATGATCTTTTGGATAATTTTCTCGTCAAAATTCTGTTATCTTTTCATAAGTTGGGAAAAATGCTATTGGTCTTTCATTTTAGATTCTTAGTGTAGATGTTGTGATCAACAAGTTGTATCTTTTCTATAATTTCGGCTTTTGAAATGAGAATTACAAACATCTTCTTTGTATTATTTCCATAAATCACTGCACGCTTCTCTTTTTTGGGTCGGTTGGGTATATTCCTGGATTTCGGAGTTCCTCCACGAGAAATTTGATGGGCCCACCTGGGGAAAAGCCCCATCACTTCACGCTTTAATTGAAAAGTATCGAAAAATATAATTTTTTTTCATTATTTTCATATTTTCCAATCATCGATATATTGCCATGGTTTTCAAGTCCAAGTCATTCTATCAATTATTATCCCTGTCCTAAAAAGAGCAAGAAGCACCCCCCCCCCCCCCCCCACAAAATGAAAATAAAAAATAAATAAAGGGAAATAAAAAAAAAGAAAAGAAAAGGGGGGGAAAAGAAACGTGACAAGAAAGAGGAGGGCCCCGTCCCGCCGCTCGCACGGCCCGCCACGTGGCGCCCCGCCAATCCGGCCTAGGAATTTAAGGAGGGGTTTTGCGGTTGGGAACTGGTCCAAGGGAGGTTTATGGTTGGTTGGGCTGTCCGGGGGGGTGTGGTGTGGTGACCCGCTGCTGCCGGTCGCGGGGTGGGCTTACCGGCTCGTCCGGTTCTGTGGTCAATACGCAGTTGGATTGTATATATCTGGTGGTCGTGGGGGGGTTTTAGCACTGTTTATCGTGGGTGGTTTTTGTCATACGAAAGGAGGAAGAAGAAGAAGAAGAGGGAGAAGAGATAGATAGATAGAGATACGTAGACAGGGGAGAAGGGAGAGAGGAGAGAGAGAGGGGGGAGGGGTTTTTGTCTTTTGTCTATTCCAATATTTTAACATAAACCCAAGAGGGAAGAATTTCATTGCGCCCAAGAAAACGAGAGATCTTTAGCGGTTAGAGAGAGAGAGAGAGAGACAGAGACAGAGACTTAGAGAGAGATTTGTTGATGGCTGGTTCTGATCTGGGTTCCTTCGATTCCGTCTAGATCTCCTCCGGCAAGCGAGGTTGCTGGTTCTCCCGGTGCGGAATTGTCCGAAATTGGGATTAGATTCTCCCCCCCCCGGGGAAATCTTTGGCTCCCTTTGGCTCAATCACCAGGAGAAAACCGTTGTCTTTCTTTTTTTTTTTTTTCGAAAATTTGGGCACTTCGATCGCACCACACCAACCCGCGATCGGACAGCTTCCGGAAAGCCGCGATCGCATCGAGAGGTGAGTGTTGAGTTTGCGTCGTTTTGAAGTTCTTGACGTCGCGATCTTCTCCTCGTCTTTGATCTGTTGTTGTTGTTCGGATGGATCGTGCGAATTGTCTCCCCCTCCCCCCTTTTTATTTTTGTTTTTGGTTTTTCGCATTTTTCCTTCTGCGAAGGCTGATGGGAATTTTTCGTCGGACTTGGCGAACGTCTTTCGGGGTTTTGAGGACATGGGTTTTTGGGGAATGGGGTTTGGGAATTCGGGTGTTGGATCGGGATCTGATTTGGCGAAGCTCGATTCCATCTGGGTTGCTGTTCGTCTTTTGTTTTTACGTCAGAAGCTGCTATTTTTGAATTCGACGGAGCTTTTGGAACTGCCGAAGGTGGGGTTCTGTTGGTCGTGGAGATTCTTTCTCGCGTATCGACTGACTCGGGAATCAAAACTTTTTGTGTTCTTTCTATTTGATTGGTATACGGTCTGATTCGACATCAACCAAGCACAGCTTTGATCGTGCTTGTTGGTGTAGAAATCGATTCTCGCTGAGAAGTTTCTGCAGAATCCGAGATCCGAGTTGGTGCTTAATTCTGCAATTTATGATCATTATGTCCCTGATTCTGTTATTCAACGACCACAGACCGTTGGGGTGGTTGAATTTTCTGGTGTTGAGTTGTCATGAGGGATCTGATTGTGATGCAAGATCTGAACTTGTCATGACTCATGCAATTTAATCGGGAGGATCAGCACATTTTGTTGCGCTGACATTTCTGTGAAATTTGAATTTCTGTGTATCATAGAAATAAATGAGAGCTTTGACTTTATTTTGGGTGAGGATCAATTATGAGTTTTGTGTCCTTTTTGCTGATTTCCGATTTTTATGAATGGGTCCTTGGGTGGTCTTGTTCATTACACAATTGTCAACAACTACTTTAGTCAGCGAGTTGAGAGAATTGTGGTGGCTATTAGCCAATGGATGTAGCAAATGCTGTCTCTACATCTTTTTGGATTTGATGACATATCAGAAGTATGGTCATATTTAAATGATCCGTTACAATGTTATGATGTCGACCTTGAATGTCATCCTACTACACTTTCTTTTCTCTTGGTGGTTTGCTGCATTTACTGATATGTAGCTCTTTCATGACCTTTTAGTGTTTTGAGACGACCATGCGTACCTGAGCTATGGTTATGAAGAAGAGTCTGGATAATAGAACAATTGGCTTTCAGGTCCCTGTCGTCCCTCGTGCTCCTAGATCGGCTAGAGTAAGTACCTCATTCAATTTTTAAATGTTTGATTTTTACTCACAAGAATGTTCAATGACTGAATTTGGTTTTGCTTATAGCAGAGGGGTCGGCAGAAAAAGCGGGCAGATGGTAATTATATCTGTGCAATTGAATTGCTTGCTTCTTTAGCTGGCAAGTTGTTGCAGGAGAGTGAAAGTTCTTCAGCTTCAAACAATGCATCTGAAGAAAATCATCTGCTTGCCATTTGTAAGGATGTCATTAAGCAGGAAAGGCAAGATGTGAATAAACCACTGAAAGCTGAGTGCATTGAGCAAGCAAGTTGTGAAGAGAGTAACTTTGTGTCTGAACGTGCCTTAGAAAACAATGAGCAGAAGTTTTCCTTGCAACAATCACAATCTCAGCATGATGCCTTGTTGGACTCCACTTCAACATTTTCTGGTTCTGCTAAATCAGAGAAGGATAGTTATTTGAGGCCTGCAATTTGCAAAAACAAGATCAGGTATGGGATGTCCAGTAATTTAGCGGGGATGATTCCTGGTTTTGCGCCCTCTTTTGGTCTTAATGTGGAGAAGCCAGGAAATGGAGATGTTAATTTGGCCGAATGTTTGAAGGATTCAGTTGAAAATTCTAGCAAGTATTCTGCAATGATGAACATAGGTGATCAAGTCCAGAAGCCACTTTGTGGGAACCCTCATCCTGTTGCCTCTTTTCCTAGGCGTAGGAATAACATTAACATAGGCAGTAGAGATGGTGACGAAAACTTCCCTAGGTTTAATAAATGTAGCAACAAAATTAAAGTTTTTAGGCATACACAACGCATTGGAGGAGACCGCCGAATAAGGAAGCTGCTGACATCCAAATACTGGAGGGCAGCTCCAAAGTTGAAGGATTGCGAAACTTCAAAAGCTGGTGAGCTTTTATCCACTTTCTTCCTAGAATTCCTGAGATCCTTCTATGTGCACAAGGTCGAGTGGTGATTTTCTTGATTGCTATGTTTCAGATGGTGAGATGAAGTCTTTTACTCACAAGAGGAGAACTTTTTACAAACGCGAAAGGTATAACAGTGACTGCCTTTATAAGAGGAGGAAGTTACTTGACAGAAGCTCAATTGTCACTTTTGATGGAGTCTTCAGTGGTGAAAGCAATTCTAGTTCACCACAGAAGAACATGAATAGTGACAGAAATGGTTCAATTGCGATGATGCATGGAGGTCTGCTCTTACATTTATATATATGACAATATACAATCCTCTCTTCTTCTTCGATGTGGACACCGCAATTTTCTATAATCTCACTGATTTTATCTGTTTTTCGGCAGAAAGTGGAACACCCTCATCAGTCTTTGGTAGCCAAGCATCCAGTCATGCGAAGGATTCTCATGGTAATTGGATGTCTAACAAATGTGCTCCTCATAGATCCATTGCATCTAGCCATTTATGAAGCACTTATATATTTGATGTGCTTTCTTACAGTGAAATTTAGCATCAAGTCCTTCAGAATACCTGAGCTTTTGATAGATGTCCCTGAAACTGCAACTGTAGGTTCGCTGAAGGTATGAACTGTGACATTCGCCAATTCTTCCTTAGAAGTAAAGAAGGTTTTGATTGTGGAGATGCTTTATCATATATGTAGAAAAAGAAAAAGAGAATGCTTAAAACCATGCTTACTATGTAACTTCTGTCTATTTTAACTGGTGGGAGTTCAATTTTTGTGCCTATAATCAGCATCATTTCCACTTTGTGACATTTTCTTGTTGCTTTACATGCTTTTGGTTCTGCATCATGTATTCTTCTTGAGCAAGTAGATTTATTTTATTGAAGTGAAATGTATCTGCCTTTAAATGGTATTATCCGTCTTTTGCCAGAGGACTGTAGTGGAAGCAGTGAGTGCTATACTTGGCAGTGGATTGCGTGTTGGGATACTGCTCCGTGGAAAGAAGATTCGAGATGATAACAGGACATTGTTGCAGACAGGCATATCTTGTAAAGAGAGTCTTGATAATCTTGGTTTCGCATTGGAGCCCAGCCTTCAAAAAGTTAATCCAGCCATTGCTTCTGAAGATGTTCCCCTGACAGTACCATATGACATGCCTGAACTCTTAACCAGGTGCTTCAGAGTTGCTTTTAAATTTTTTCAAATTAATAAACAAATAAACGGGTTGCTTCTAAATTGCGAATATTTACTAGAAAGATGGACTTGCTCTGCCAGACATTCTTCTAATTTCTTGCCGTCATTTTCTGCAGTTCTCCGGAAAATTGTATATCCGATCCAGGGGTTTCTGATGTTCCATCTGACCCACCTCCACTAACAAATAGCGGCAATGATGTAGATACTAACCCTGAACTCATTTCCCTGCATTCCGATGTTTCATCTGACAAAAAGATGTCAGATTTGAGAGCTCTGGTTCCTTTTACCGCTATGCCCCTGGAGCCACTAGCTGTTGTCCCACTGAGCCAGAAAAACAAGCGCTCTGAACTTTCACAGCGTCGCATCAGGAGACCTTTCTCTGTGTCTGAGGTGGAAGCATTGGTTCAGGCAGTTGAGGAGCTTGGAACTGGCAGGTGCGCTGCTCTCTCTCTATATAAATGTGTTGCTGTCTGTTCCTCAGTAACATAGGATAACTTAATTTGGTTTAAGCGGACGTGTCTTTAGGACATGACTCTAGTTGTTTATAGATAGGGTTCTGATTACGCTTGGTTCTTCAGGTGGCGTGATGTTAAATTACGTGCCTTTGAGAATGCAGACCACCGGACGTATGTGGACTTGAAGGTACATTTCTTCACGCTTACTAATTGCACCTGGAAAGTAATATGTATGCAGTTAACAGATGATGAGACCGTGATGCACACACAGATTGACTTGCGAATCTTTTGTGCACCATGGTTGATGATAGATGCACACATTTATCCACAGGACTTAAACTTTGGTTGCCACATGGTTTTGCATCTTCTTGCTCATTCATTTCCATCTTTTTTCTGTTAGCAGTTATAACTTTGACACCATCAGCTGTTCCCTGTTTTTATCCATATGCGATCTGCATCAAAATATGAAGGTTCGTATGTTTCAACTGTTATGATGTTCTCTGTGGACTGCGTGCAGGATAAATGGAAGACATTGGTCCACACTGCGAGCATCGCTCCACAACAGAGGAGGGGAGAGCCTGTGCCCCAGGACCTCCTCGACCGCGTCATGTCTGCCCACGCTTACTGGTCTCAGCATCAAGCTAAGCAACAGGGGAAGCACCAACCCGCGACTCCGAAGATAGCCAATGAGCAGGCTGACAGGATGGCGATCGAAGGGATGTGAGCCGCGGCGCAGGTTGTACAAAAGGTCACGAATTGTCTGACAGGATGGCGTTAATTTCCCGAAATTGTACAGATCATTCATGTGTAATTCTCACTCACATGATTCTTTGCCGGGTCCTGCTCAAGGGAGCTCGGCAGCTGTAAATTTTTTCATCGAAAAACACTTTTGTTAACAGAAGTTAATTTGCCGCATTTCTTCAATTCAGTTCATGGAATTTTTTGTAAAGTTCACATTGACTTGAGATACAATTAATGTAATTCGTTCTTTCCACGTACTGTAAATTTGTGATTCAATTCATTTATTCGACGATTCTGTCTTCCTGGTGATATATGGTTACCCCAACTGCTGTCTTGTGGCATCTTCAACTTTTTCTGTCCTTGGATAGCAAAGGCTGCTTTTGCTTCTCAAGACCAGTAACTTTCTCTCCATCAATGGTTCATTGACAATACTCTTAAATGGTGTGAGTGAGTTTCATGATGACTTTAGGCTCCTTCCTTTTCTGTATCTCCAAGCTTTTGCGTCGCAAGCAACATCTCAAACAGCTCACGCGACACCGGCAACAACCCCACTGCTGCAAGTAACAAAAACTCCCTCCCTCCCTCCCTCCCTCCCTCCCTCTCTAACAACAAAGAAGAACATGGACCTTCCCAGCACGTTACGTCATGTGAGGGATGAATCTTAAGAATTCCAATTTCGGGTATTTTAATAAAGGAGGACTTTTGGGTCGTCGTTCATCATCGGTGTCCGCAGTTGCAGTTGCAGTTTCGCAATGATTTCGTGTTGGGTTTCGTCTCGCCTTACGCAGTTCGTTTTGTTACGTAAGAAGACTCCCAAAGGCATGTGCATCTTCTTCACATGGTCCGTGAGATTCACGTCATTTAATAATCTCACGACAATCATCCCAGTCTGGCCTCCCCTCTCTCTCTCTCTCTCTCTCTCTCTCTCTCTCTCTCTCTCACAGCCATTTTTTTAAAGCAAATGATAAATTAGTTGGGTCATTTTGCAATTTTCATTGTGGAAACTACTATTGGGTGGGGGTCCTTGAAGTTTTCGTTTTCGCAATAATGACTCCTTTTTGTTGGAAGAACACCAGATTTTATGACAATTTATTGTGGTATCTTTACTTCAACCACTATAAATCGTGTCGGTGATTTGATAAGCGTTTTTAATTGGGGAGAATTATAAAAAAAGTCCTAAATTTATTGCAATTATGCTGATTCAGTTCTAAATCTTTTTTTTTACCAATTGAGTTCTAAACTTTTTGCATTTGTGCCAATTTAGCCCATCCGGCCAATCTTGGCCGGAAATTGCCGACATGGTCTGGCAACTGGCTAGAGGAAGAAGGAAGGAAAAAAAAAGAAAAAAGAAATTAAAAATTTAAAAAATACTGAAAAAAATTGTCCACGTCAGCGCCAGCTATGCCATGTAGGATGGCCGGCGTCCATGTTAGTGATTTTTGGTCAAAATTAGTCTGATAGACTGAATTGACACAAATGCAAAATGTTTGAGACTCAATTGATTTATGATTTTTTTAGTAATTTTCCCGTTTTTATTGAGACATGACATTCGAATCTTGGCGTTAATTATCTCTAACCCCTATGAATGAAACTAATGCTGCGATATTTTTGTGGAGTGTTTTTCTGCTGAAACTATAGTTTTTAATATGTAATTATTACTTCTTGTTAGATAGCAATGAGAAAGCCGGTCCAAGATTTCGTGACGTTGGTTTCTATTTAGTATAGTTATAGTAGATTAATGCACAATTTCTTAATCGTAAATTGCTTGCACAAATAGGTATATTAAATAGGAATTTTCTTCATATGATTTCTAATGAGCTCAAAAAAATAAAAAGGGAAATTATAAGGAATTCGTCAGATTAGAAAAAATGGAGTTCGCTAGAGAATGAATTCCGAGAAGGTGGAGTAGAACCAATATGATAAAATGAATATGATAAGGTCGCTCAAAATTAAATGAGCGTCCAACCTCCAATGAAAAGAAAATTTCTTGCTCTGCCCCAAAACATCAATTTATGTTTGAGTTCGGATTTGCATTTGAATTTGGACTCAATTGAGGAGTAAAGTAAGTCTACCTAATTTATTTGTTTCTGATTTTAAAACCCGTATCTCCGGCGGTCGACTCGATGTTTTCCAATCGTTTCTCATTATTAAGAACAATTAATATAGATAAAATACGAGCTTGTATTATAGCAATAGTAATTAATTGTTGTTGTTATAAGGTTAATCTATTTACCCGTCTGGAGAATATTTTTCCTTGTTTACTGTTAAATCGTATAATTAGTTCATGTTTCTATAATTGATCCTATCCCACGATTGGATCAGGGGCAAAAGCTTATGAAAAGATTGCTTGGACTTAAGAAAGAGTAGCTTGGATTTTTCCGTGGTTTGTTTATTCCTTATCTCAAAAATTGTACTTCAATCTGATCTAAAATGATTTCAAATTTAAATTATTGGATTTAAGATGGCTTCGTGTTTAGTTAGTAGAATTATGTTAACTGTAATATATAGAATAATATGATATGTGCAGAATATGTACTTTTCATGTTTCTTGTAAAAGTGACACACAGACACTTGATGCGAGCTATTTTTCACAATTAGTCGACTAGGCGTATCGTGGCAACTCTTTTAAAAATACAATTTGCATATTTTAAAATAACCATTACTTGAACATTTCACCATCAACCTCTTCTGCATTTTTGTTTAACCAACTCTTCTACTTTCCGCCAAAAAGAAGTAAGGAAAAAAGAAACAAACAAGAAGTAAAACAATAAACAAATATTTAGGTTTACTTCTAATCAAATTCGATTCAATGTACATTATTTCGTTCATTGATTTTTAATTTGTATGATCTTTTTGCCCTAGACACAATTCTGCTCTCACAATATTATTTCAAAAAGAAATTGGAGACTAACTCGAATTTCGCGGACATTGAATCTACTTTAAATTCTCTTTGGAAAAATGATAGTGATATCCCTAAATTTTGGCTCAATGTGCAACATCATTTTTTATTTTTTAATTGTTTAATGCGGTTCTTGAACTACTTGCTAAATGTTCCGTATAGCCATTTTATTTGATCAAATAAGGGAGAAAGTCACCCCAAGTCCCTAAACTATTGCGAAATATGCAATTTAGTCCCTAAACTTTCAATTTGTTCAATCTACTTCCTCCACCCTCCCAAACAAAGTTAAATTAGTCTTGTGATACTATTAGCAAGTTTTCATAATTACCTTATTGCTCAGATTTTAGAACATCTTTTCATTCCAATTCACTTCCTAAATCAATAAAAATGCTATATTTTTATCACCTTTTTAATTTTTTTTATATCTATAAATTTTATGATAGTTCTATTCAATTACAGTTTACGTCACGCTTTGTATAATAGTCAAAGTAGAACCTCGTTTAGAGTTGTATTGGAACGAAAAGCCTGTTCAAGTATTTGTACGAGTCTAAATATTGTTCCTTCCTTATGTTTTAGATAGATAAAATTTTCAGGCTTTTTTGTTTCGTGCTTTCTTAATTGAATTTAGTTAATTTTGTGTGTTTTTATTTTTGTAGAAAGGTTTTATTTTTGGATCATTGATCGTAGAACTTTAGGCACGTTTGTTTCACGGAAAATAAATGATCTGGAAAACATTTTTCTAAAACGATTGATTATTTTGCTTACAAAAACAAATAAACGAAAAATATTTTCATTGTCCACGGAAATGTTTAGACGTATATTGTTGATGATAATGAAAACATTATCCATTGACTAATTATTTCAAGCGATACAAGTGATCGATTCTAGGAAAATATTTTCCAAATCATTTGTTTTCCGCGAAAACAAACGGAGCCTCAGTTAAACCTGTCTGTTTTTTGATAAGATGGAATCGAGTCGCTCAGTTATAACACGTTTAGAGTTTTCACACCAAACTGGAGCATGTCCAAAGAGTAAAAGTGGCTCAAATAAATTTGAAGGACAAAGTGATGAATGCATACAAATGTCAAGCTTCGAGCTTCAAAGGCCATACTGCAAATATTGCACGGCTATAACAAAATGAGAAAAGAGAGAGTGAATGAGGAAATGGGCCCAACAGCCTGTTTATGAACGGCCCTCACTTTGCACAGGCCTATCCAACTTCTTGTAGAAGAAGACACAAAGCTGTATTATCAAGGTCGTGTGAACAAGTATCTGATTAAATATACTTAAAACGGATGGTAGCGATTAAAAGTCGGTGCATTGGAAATTGTGAATATTTCTTAATTGCTTGCTTAACAAATGCTCCCTCGTTCATAAGAAATGAAACTTCAAGGACACCGAGGCTTACTTCTCCTCGTGAAGTAAAACCGAGTAAAATTGTGTCGGTAAGCTACCGTTTAAAATTACTTGAGGGAGACCTACCGATCTAATGTTGGAAGGAAAAATGTTCCTTACAATCAAGTTATTATATAGGTTTAATTTAATGGAGCCAATCACATATGAGAAAATAGTGAAAGTCCAAGACTGAACACCGGTTCTCACTAAAAAACATGACTTTTGACACGATTTCCGCTTTCCTATGGATCCCATCCATCCCATCATCTCTCGATCGGAACACGAAATCCACTAGGCGCGTAATGCAAGCTTTTTGTCACGTTCATTATTTAAAATACAGAGTTCGTCTTTTAATTCGAAAGATCAACTCAATTTTTTTTTTTTTTGATATAGGTCAAGTACTAAAAATAAAATCATCAAAATTAGGGTTTTTCTTTGGGTCTTGGATGTCTTTGTTGGTCCAAAGTTTCCCTTCAAGATATAAGGAGGGTCATGTACTAAACCACGTCAGTATGTACGCTGGGCTTTGGGCCTAACCTTTTAAAATTACGAATTGGGGGAGGTATATCACAGGCACTTGCTTTGGTGCTCGACTCTTCTAACATGCTCTCTATACGATGCATTTACGAGTCCTAAACACTTTGTTGAATCGATGGTGCAAATTGTAGCCTGCAGTTTGTTTCTCATGCGCTACATGAAATCCAAGATTGATCACGGTCGTTAGAATGAAAAAGATCGTGGTCTTCAAACAGCTATGATTGTGTTGGTCTACATAGACCGAGTCTACGTAATATTCTTTCTCCTTGCACAAGATGAAGCAGGTTCCTTGGGAGATTATCTCACTGCCATCAAGATAGCATTCCACATGGTAGAATCAGTGGTAAATTCTTTTACTCCAAGAAGAGTCCCTCGAATGAAAGCTGCTTGGAAAGGGGAGATCAATTTGTCAAGAAGAGGTTTCAA